GCCAAATTGTCCCTAGTAATTATAAGCAATGTGATTTTATTTATCTGGTTTAATTAGCAGGGACTTTGCACTGTCTTTGACCGGGCATACTGGGGATGGGGAGAGAGGAAGAGATTAAAACATCATCCATCAACATGCGTTGTGTCTGTGTGTGTGTGTGTGTGTGTGTGTGTGTGTGTGTGTGTGTTTTGAATTGGAGATTTGAGTATCAAAAGGTGACAGAATCCAGGAAGGTGAAAAGAAAGGAGAACAACATGATGGATTTCCCTAAGAGGTAGAATTGTAAGGGAAGAGAGAAACTATCTAAACTAACGTCACGAAACAGGTAAGAGGAGGAAACAGGGACAAAGAGAAGGCATTTAGGAGCCATGAATGGGATTTTAGTATTAAATTGGTAGTTTTCAATTGTCACAGTTCATTTACCAGAATAGAACAGAGTTGGAAGGGACCTTGGAGGTCTTCTACTCAAATCCCTTGCTTATGCAGGACACCAGACAAATGGCTATCCAATATCTTCTTAAAAACGTCCGTGTGTTGGAACATTCATAACTTCTGGAGGCAAATTGTTTTAACTGTCAGGAAGTTTCTCCTTAGTTCTAGGTTGCTTTTCTCCTTGATTAGTTTCCATCCGTTGCTTCTTGTCCTACCCTCAGGTGCTTTGGAGAACATATGAAAGACTGTTTTTGAATGCAGCTTTCCTAGGGGAAACTTTGTCACAATGATCTGTGTTTGAAGCTGCTTGAGAAGACCTTTCCCCTCCTTATCATATCCTCTTTGGGAGGCTGTTCTCTGTTGCCTTCTCCCTTAGTCCCAACTCTAAAAAGTTTTTGTACAAGCATGAAGATCTGGTTTTTCTCCCGTGCATTGGACCAAGATATTTATATCCTGTTCTATTGTGACAATGAGTGCTTGCTCTACACAGCCTCAGGTATGTTTGAATTACGTTACACATCAAATAAGAAAGAGCCCTTTGTGAGTTGGCTCTAAGCTGAGGTGGATACCCGCAGAAGAGTAACATTAGAACATAGATGTTGTGACCCACCAGTGGATCACGGGAGAGATTGGTGAACCACCATCTCTTCTTTGGTGAATGTTGGCATGGGGGCCATTGCTTCTCTTTTGCCTCTCCGTGGCAATTGGCCTAGCAATAACTTCTGAGCTGCCTTTTGTTTTGAGAGAGGTGAGTTGACCCCACTGTCCGAAAAATGATGGATTGGCCTTCGTATCGGGATGACTAACTGCTCTCCACCCTCAATTCTTTGCAATGAGAAGATTGCTCCGAATAGAGCCAGGGTTGTTTTCATGGTCCAGTGCCACCAAGCAATTAACCATGAGCGAGTGAGTTCTCCCAACCTTTACTAAAAACCATGGCAGTTTATCAATGTGTCAGGGCTGTTGGCAGATTCAAGAAATCT